ACGCACGCACGCACGCACGCACTAGTTTAATTTTGTTTTTGGTTTAATTTTCAAATATGTAATGTTCCTTTTCAATTTTTTGTATTTTGGATTTTTTAAATATTTTTCTAATTTATTTGCCTCCTGTTTATGACTCTAGGTAAACAGTAAGAATTTTTATTGTCATTTCATAACCATAACTATGAAATAACCTTATTTTGTTTACCGCCTGTACTATTGCCGAGAGGGAGACCGAGGAGTTCCATAGCACAGGGATTACCTACTTGTTTATTTATTTATTCATTATTGCTGCATGTACAATTTGTGTAAAATTGATCTTAATAACGATCACAGTCACAGTACATGACCCTGGGGATCTTACCATAACCTTTCCAAAAACAATCATATTTCAAGCTTAAAGTAACGTGATAAAGAAACGTGTAAGCTTATTATAGTATTATTACTCATATTCGTGGCATGACGAACCTGTCAACCAAGTAATGTATTATTGCAAAAGTGATTGAAAGAAGTAATGATTTCCCATATTCTTATTGACTATTCCTTACTAAAAATAGGAAAGAGATAACGCTATGTGAACTATACAATGCCATCTCTTTCTGTTTTGATGTTCCGAATCGTCTTATCGTAATATAATGTTTAAGTACTTAATGTTATTTACATTCAGAGAATTTTGACTGTTAAAAAAAGAAAAGTATGTATTAATGAAATCTATTAAAATTACGTTGTTTTCAATAATTATTCCACATTTTCATAAAGAAAAATAAATAAAACAAGCTGAGTCTTGATAGTCACGTTGTGAATTCGGAACTATAGTCTAGTGTCAACTGTTAATTTCGCCAAGGAGCATATAGAATGCGCTGTTATAATTTTACGAAATAAACATCGCGTATTTTTATTTAAAGAAAAATTATTTACTGTATGCTAATAAATAAAAAATAAACAAAATATTGAAGAGATATATGTAAATAAATAAGTTCAACTTAACTTTTAATCATTACAAATCAATATTAAGACAATAAACCTGAAAATAATATTGTTTCCATTTCATCCGTGTAACTATTTTAAGATTGCTAAATTTGACATAAGAGCAATATTACTTTAATGTTAAAGTCGCGCCGTAGTAGTACGAACTGAGGGAATGAATAGTCACAACATCATAATTTTAACATTACAATAAGCTTACTTTAAGCGTGTTATGGTACGAAAAGTCAATGTAAGGTTAAAGTAATATTGTTTTAAGAGGTTGTGGTAGGCCCCCTGTTCGGGCATTGCAATTTAACATTTGAATTTATAGTAATTTATATTATTAACAAGATATTAAGTAATAGGTACATGATTTAAAAATTAAAATAAATAGATACGAACAATCCAACATTAATTCTAGGTCATTATACTTAATTACGAATTTTATTTTCATTTACATAGATCTTATAATATAGACTTCTGGCTCCTATCTCCCATATTGTAATCTATGTTCAATTATGTGCTTATATTTTGTACCTGTTGGAACTTATAATTGTAATAAAAAAAATCTACCTCAAAAGTTTGTGGTATTACATCTATTTGCCGAATTGTATTGAAATCGGTTAACGGAAAGCGAGTGGAATCCAATAAAATGGATTCATCTCCTAATTTGCCTCCCTTAGAGGTGAAATATTATACATACAAAAATACTGTCAAATTGAGAACCTCCTTTTTAAGTCGGTTAAAAATTAAAAAAGTCCCCGGTTCAATACAGTGTACTCCAAAAACAACACTGGTCTCGTATTGTTAGCCCTACTTTTTAGAAAGGGCTGTTTTTCAAAATTGTCTCTAAACCCGTACAAAAAATCCTTAAACATGTTAATTATACAACAATGTCAAATGAGTCACACACAGACACACACACACTTTTAAAGATCAATCCAGTTGTTTGGGAGCTACGACGCCACACAGATTCACAAAATCTTCATTCCAAAAAATGGATATAGAAACCTATTGTATATTTTGGAAACTGTCATTCAAAACTAGTTTAAATAGCAACACTGACAAGTGGTTGACGATTTAAACGGCAACATCAACAACAACCGAAAAGACAGAAAATGTTTGCAGCTGGAATTTATTTCGCCCTATATTGTTAACCGTCAGTTAGTCATTCGCTATAACTCTAAACATGTGTAGAGTGACCCCCATGTGTTCCCTAATATGTAGAAAACTAAATTACGATTTTGGAACTTGAGTAGCATTAGAGCTCTGCCACCTTACCTATTTCAACCGTCAAGCAGTAATGTAAGCATTACTGCGTTCCGGATCTGAAGGGTAAGGGCGCTGGTGAAATTACAAACACATGGGACTTGTCAAATTAAACTCAGTGTGACGGGCGCAGTGGCAGTGTCCCCAGATTTTCTCTCAGAGTGGCACTACAACTGCTTTGGACAGGCGTGTCGCTTACCACCAGGCGCACGACTTGTTCGTCCCGTCACTCGGTATCATAAAAAAACCTTATACTTGTTTTTATGTAACAGCTTGATAATGGGCTTCATCCAGAAGAAGCAAGCTGAAGACATGCTGTCCAAATGTCCACCAGGAACCTTCTTACTACGTTTCTCTGACTCAGAACTTGGTGGAATCACCATCGCTTGGACTGGAGGTAAGATTTCATTGGATGTGACGACTGTTGAAACAACGATATCTATGTACTAACCATCGAGTATAGTAAATAGAGACAGAAATAGAGACGAAATGTAATTTAATTTGTTTGAAAACTATTCTGCCAAATCACTACGGTGACAACAGCGCATCGATTCGAAACAATTTACGGGTGTCGTCATTGACTTACAATTATATGGACGTCGGGTCAGCGCTAAAAAGTGTCCGAACTTCTAGGGCGTTAAAATCGTATACAGAGCATCATTCACGCTCTAATCTTCGTTTGTTCGACTGATAGCGAAGCAAGCAAAATTAGACAGTACTGCGATGACATTACAATTTAAATTCAACGTTTTAGCTTTTTCATATTCCTTTACATGTCACTACGTTTAAATAGGTTGACTTGGGACATTTTTTTCCTGGTTTTTGTATTAGACCCGTCGTCCATTTATTTGTAAGTCAATGGGTGTCAATAGTTTCACATCAAATCGACCAGTGTAAAAAGAGACTAGGCTGCATGACATAACATCAATAATTTCAACAACTCGACTGTATTTTTCTTTTCCTTAATAATAATATAATAATTATAAACAGTACGCGGAAGGCCACACTGAAATGTATTGTACAACTAATAGCGACTGCCAGTGGCTTTACTCATTAGCTCATGCCCAATAGGTATAGACTGTCACGTCTGTCCACGGTACTGCAGTACTGATACCTTTGACAAAATTCAACACTAAAACAAAACTTTATCACTATTCATAGTAGTTGTTTGGAACATGTAGTTGTGTGATTGTTCTTGTCTATAGATATAAGTCGTTGGTAGAAATACTACATTAATGCATGACTGAAGCGCTTTTATTTTTTACAGTATAGGTCCAATCATTCTCTATCAAGAAAAAAATAATCCATCTGTAGGTACTTGCGGCTTTACGAGTAAAAAGGTGTCAAAATTTTAGATTTGTTATTTTTTTAACACAATGTACTGGTTTCTACTGAACTTTCGTGTTATTGTTACAACACTCTCAAAATGACACTAAAATTAATTTTTCTTTAGTCGAAACTCATGTATTTTGTTAAAAAAAGTACATAAAAGAGTTAGTAATTTACTTATAAAGCCGCAAAGTACTTGCAGACGGATTATTTTTTTCTATAAAGAAAATTGAAACTATACTGTAAGTAACGCACAGTACATTTTCGTATATTTTGAGATAAAAAATAAAATGTATATTTCTCCATACAAAAAAAATGTTTTTTTTTCTCCGAAATTGTCAACTTTTCAAGAAATACGAGAATTAAAATTGTTAGGAATGTTATTATCTATCACATTAAAAAAATTTGCTCGGTACTCCACATGTTATTCCTATGTCCAAGAATTATCAATTTGGGCCCACTGTGCGGCGCGCTTTCATCCATCCATCTCTCAATATGAGTATAAAAAATTATACTTACCTTCATATTGTTACGAATTTGTAGAGGAAATTAAGAATTTACTTACTTAGTATTGTTTCTTTTTATGGCAGAGGGAAATGAAGTGTTCAGCCTGCAGCCATTCACGTCGCGCGACCTGTCGCTGCGCTCTCTCGCTGACCGTATCTCAGATTTGGGGCAGCTTCAATTCCTGTACCCCAGCACCCCCAAGGATGACGTCTTCGCCAAATTTTATTCTAAGCAAGGTCAGTTGAAGTGATGTTATAATATAATATAATATCATATATATATATATATATATATATATAATATAAAATCACTAACGATTAAAAAATAATAATAATAATACAAAAAAAAAAATTGTATAAGGTCATCATCAAAAAATTTCATATGTAAATAAATAAAATTAATAAATAAAATACTCATGCCCCGCACTAGGGAAACCCTGTGCTGTGGAAGTCATGGGCACACATATAAACAACCACAAGTTACACCCAAATTCACAAGAGAGATAAATGTAAGCTAATTAAATTTTTATTGTAATGAATGTTTCACCACAAAGATATTAAATTTTTTTTTTGTGAAATTTTTCCACTAGTTTGTTATAATTATTCATACAAGGATCGAAAAGTTAGAATAAATTCCTTCTATCCGGCCGGTTGGGGGGCCGGTGGGAAGCCGACGGGAAGCCGGTTGGGAGGCTGGTGGGGGGCCGTTTGGGGGGTCGGTTGGGGGTCCCACGTGGGCTGAACCACCCCCTAACTCAGCCCTAACCCCCCAACCCAAACCCTAACCCCCAACCTAAATCCTAACCCCCCAACCCAAACCCTAACCCCCCAACCCAAATTCTAACCCACCCCTTAACCCACGCCCTAATTGGGAAAAGGTGAGGAGAACATTTTTAATACAGTTCAACGCATAAGAGTAATTAGAAATACGTAAATAATGACTAATATAATTTAAAAAAATATGCAAAAACAGATACTACAAAAACCCGACATTTTTTGTTTCATCATTTTCGCGGCGATTATTAAACGACAAAGATATATAGATATTTCATATCCTTCTCCTTGTTCTTCAAAATGTATTACAATTGGTCATTACCAAATAAGCAAACTTAGCTTGATCAACTGTAATAAATATTATCACGGGGAGGTTTATGACACGAGCAGTAGCTTAAATGTGACGTTTTCAAGTGTAAATTTATTTTACCTATGGAATAAATAATCTTTGACTTTGACTTTGACTTTGACACATACTGCCATGCTACCGCCATGGACTGTTAATATAATTTGAAAAAGTTTAAAGTGCCCGAAGAGCTGTTCATAAAGTTCTTCTTTCAAATCAGGTCAAGTCAAATAATGTTGATTTCATAGGTAAGTATTATTACACTTGAACTCGTCACATTGGTTAAACTCTACCGCTCATTCGTAAGGCAGATTCCCCTGAGAAGAATGAGCAAGAAACTCTAGGGGTTGCTTAAATATACATTTGAATCAATTTATCATTACAATATTTAATTTAAACATCTTAGATCGAGAATATCTGAAAGAGTTAAACAGGTCAATAACGCGGATTTTTGTCATCCAAGTACGCATAAGTTGTATAATAACCTTTAGTGTAAAGTTTTTGTTTCACTATAGTTTTAAACCTCATGAATAGCAAATTTTCAATATCAATTGGAACCTTACATCGAGTATAACCAGAAGTAGAGACGAAATAAGGGCCATCCATTCCTGGCAACTCGTCAGGCAAATGGGCCTTATATCACTTTTAAATATCAACTCTCGTTTGCGCTGAAATCACAAATTAGTAAGCTGAAATAGTACAGCGCCAACAACTGACCTGTGTGTACGTCTCCGTGTATTCCAAAAATATTCTGTATTTATTATAATAAATATAATATCTCTAACAATGGCAGGCTGTTCCGTTCGGCGGTGTGGCAACAGCAAAACATCTAGTTACAAAACAAACGGAATCACATTTCATCTGTAATTAAATATTAAATATGTAATTTTGCAATTATCGTCCATTATAGCAAAGTTTAAGTTAACAGGTGAAATAATTGACGACACCCGTCAATTGTTTCGAATTCGGGCTGGCCAATCGGAGCGCAGTTATCACCGTAATGATTTGGCAGAATCGTTTTCAAACAAATTAAATGCCATTTCGTCTCTATTTCTGGTTATATACTCGACAAAACGGAGCTAATCACAACAGTAAAAACAGTTTTTCTTGTTCGAGGGGTGAGTCTGGCGACCCGTATAATTCAGGCTTTTCAAGCTTATAACGAACGCCAGTCACTCAGTTAAGTAGTTGTTATTACAAAATTGTATTATGTCACGTATATTTAATTGGCTTACATGCTGCTTTTGTGAGAAATATATAAATATTATTATTATTATTATATGGAAGATCGTCATTGTTCTTTGCCGTATATGAAACGCAGATATACAAACCATATTTGTTTTGCAAAAACCAGCGAATCGTTCTGTGTACCGTTTAGATTCTCGGGCTTCTCTCAGAGAAAAGTTTAAGAAGACTGGTATTATTTATGACTGTGACATTGTAGTACATTTACTCCAATATTTTGTATGCCTGTAAAAATAAGAAGATATCCATAATATTAACCTTAGAACAAATTCCAAACTCATGGTACCACGATTTCGTTTAAAACTTACATTAAAAGTATTTTAATTGAAAAGTCATATTACAAAATTGAAAAGTATTTGTTGGATAAAGATGTATGGAAACAACGTGAGTCTAGATTCCACACAATTATGATTCAAATTATATTCTATAGCATTTAAGTTTATTTAATAACGTAATAACGTACACACTCAACATAGCCCCGTACTAGGGATACCCTGTGTCGCGGGTGCCATGGACACACACGTAGACAACCACAAATTACACCCAAACTCACGAGAGAAATAAATGTAGGCCATACAAATATTTCTCCCGACCCGGGAATCGAACCTGGGACCTCTGCATGGCAGTCCGGCATGGTAACCGTTCGGCCACGGAGGCAGTTATTTGAAAAGAGCAATCCCTAGAGTTTCTTGTTCGTTCTTCTCAGGGAGGTCAGCGCAGCAATAAATGATAATTTGCGTGTATAAAATACGTCCCTGTATATCAACGGTGGAAATTTGAAAAACGTAAGGAATATTATGTTGTAATGGAAAATGTTCCTTACTACAAAATGTCGCTTTCGATATTTCAAAATTCGATACATCGATGAAATTATTACCCTTACATCGCTGGTGGAAATTTGAAATGTCCTAAGAGACATTTTGTCAAATTTCCAACATCGATATGTGTACGCTCTTAAAGTTTCCAATCGAGAAGCGACTGACATTAACAATTATATGTTATCACAGAGACCGCTTCAACTAACGGCTACGTACGCCCCGGACTAGTGACGACCCTGCCGCCGTACATCAGTCCGTCGCCGGCGTACTCCGCACATTCGCCAGACTCGCATCGCAACACCCCTTCAGTTCAGAGCAGGTGTGTATATCTTTTTTATACGTGACAAATATACAAATTAAACACGTTATGACTGGCACAGTCGATAGACTAAGATACCTGACCTCGTAGCAGACTTCTTGATTCTAATGGTTACTAGGGCTTGCAAAACTGGTCCGGTTCCAGTACCGGTACTCCCGGTATTGCCGGTACTTCTTGAAAACCTTAAACTGTAACCATTAAGTATGCTTTTTCCGGGTTATCTGTATCTATTCAATAATTTACGTAATAATATCATAAATAATAAAGAAAAATTTCATTCTCTAATCAAACTAAAGGTTTTTATTCAAAATATCTATTGGGAGATCTTGCGCCCGTGCGAAGTAGCCAATGGGCAATATTATTCATAAGGTTCTTAAAACTTCATTCAGTAATTATGCAATAAAGAAGTCATACCAAAAAAAATTTTACGGCTCACAGGTTGTTTGTCTAACATATTTTTTCACACGGGGTCAGGCATCTTAAGGCATCGTCTGTACCATTATGCGTATAAATTCGCATAATGATAATACACATAACAAAATAATATTACTGGTAAATTACATATTAACAATTTTATTTATAAGGAAAAATAATGACATACGCATAATGGTCTGTGTGTCATTATGCGTAGCTGAAATATGTCATTATGCGAATGAACTCTAAATGGCGGCAACACTTTAATTGAGCACCCACTCTATTTACACTTAATTTATATAAATAAAGTGTAGTTATATAAAGTATGCACTACTTTTAAATAACATCAGAAGTGTTGAAAAAATGAAAAGATTCTCATAATAGTTATTAGTCACGACACGCTTTTAATTATTTTTTATTTATTTTCTTTTCTCTCTTCTCTTTAGGTACATGATTGATTTTTAAGTTGCAGGCTTCGAGAATTTTTTTTAAGTTTAGTTGTAGTTTTTTACCGTCATATTTTTTTAATAGTCACATCCTTTTTATGTCATTTTTTTTAAAGAAATTTGTGTTATAGTTAGCGCATAAATGCTTTCATTATTTTTTAAATTATTCTTTATATTAAGCTTGATAAATAATCTCAATATTATACTTAATGTAGGGTAACGATTGTTTGCAATATAGGGTGCCTTCGTTTTTAAGTTTTTTTTACGTTTTATTTTTATAAATTGTTCTAAGACTTTCGACGAGTTGTCTTGTTTTGAAACTCGACTCAATTTTTGAGTTTCGACTTAAAAAGCCATAATTTCTCGCTGCCTCTATAATAAAGTGACGACAAGAAACATTTCTTTTTTGAAACTGACAAATTCGATTAAAATAGCTTACTTTGGTTTTCGCTCTCGAGAATTTTGAGCCTTGACCAGAGATAAGCAAGCGCCCGGGTTTTAATTCGGCCCTTTTTCTTAATTAAATCGGGTTAAAACCCATTAATGCCCGAGGACTAAAACTATTTACAACTAAGTATTTGTTGTAAATCGTGTTTTGTTCAAATTTAATGATATTATTACAAAAAGTTTATTGCTTTCTGATGTGACACCTGCAGTTCAACCGAACGTCTGTAGGTGCTATAAATTGTATACTAGGAAATCAGCACACGAAACACGCAAAGACTGTTAGTTACTATTTGTTGAATCGACTCCTACAGCGCCGGCCAGACATGTAAGCTATAGTTTAGGATACGATGGAACTGGCATATCGACTACGTTCTGGTAACCGGTACTATCTGAATTTTGACAACTTTACATGATGAAGAAAAATACATTTATATAGCATCTGGTTTATTAAATAAAAATACGTAGTGTACGTACATGTGTAATAAAAATATCTAAAAACTACGCATTTTTATTTAATAAACCAGTTGCTATATAAATGACGCAAAGAATTTTTTTTTTATACTGTTAAGTTGTCAAAATTGAGATAGTACCGATTGCCAGTTTACAGTCGATATGCATTCTACAAAAGTTCCTAAAATAAATAAGGATTAAAAAAATATGTAACACTAGTAGTGAGTGTTGCTTGGAATTGCCTCTTATTCGTCTAAAAAATATATTTTACATTTGTATAATTAAATTACATATTACGTAATTATGTTAATGCTATTTGAAATATAAAAAAACATGTACCTATTTTTATTTGGCGCATAATATTTTTAAGGGTAGTGATTCTCAATTCGATGATGTTACTTTTTTGTTGGAAAGACCTTATGTAAAGGTACCTTAGTAGGGGTCTCATTCAAATTTCAAGAAAATATTCCACCTCTAACAGTGACAATTCAGGGGATGAATTTGGTTTATCGTTTCCGTTTATTCCACAAAATTTTGAGGTCGTTTTTTTTTAAAATAATCTTTATTTATTGTGTCAGTTTCTCAGAAATGTTACTTTTTTACATCGGCACTTTATTATTGCGGGTGCGAGATCTGATGATCAACGATCGGTGTGTCCTAAGTAAATAACAGATCGTCAGGTTAATTTGTGAATGGTTTTTAAAACAAATACAATACGACTGACTACTTGTGAACTTGCCTTAAAATTTTTTTTATTTTAATTTTTAGAAAAAAAAGGAATAGAAATGTAATAAATTTTGTGTTCGACATTAAGAAATTTTTATTAAGGTGTGTTCCACAAATTTCTACTGAAAATTCCCCACTGGTGGAGTGCTAAAGTTTGATTAAATTTTTACTATGTCATCGACTCAGCGCGCATTTTCTTTTCCAAAGTGTTAAAAGCTACGATGCTTTGTCTGTCTGCGTAGCAAGTACTACGCCAGAGTGGAGATTTTTATTGGGGATTTGTGGAACATGCCAAGTAATAAATTTTTTAAATCATATTTTTATAATTCTGTCCTCTTTGTTATAACATTTTGGTAACTTTCGAGATATTGGCATCAGAGCCTTAACTGTGACCTAAAAATGACAGTTGCGCTGATTTTGCTTAACAATAAGAGTGATTACACACTGCGACTTTTAGGAGCGAAGCAAACGTGCGTGCATCGCTACACTTGCGATTTATAGGCGATTGCATCGATGCAAACGCGCGACAGCATCGATACTGTACCTTGTGTTGAATAATTATGTACTGTAACACCACGTACAAGAAATATTAGTAATCTCCCCTTGCCGCTAGATGGCGTTGGGATCAAAATAGAACGTGCTATCGAAATGTTCACTAAATTATACCATATAAGCTGTTACAGAAAATTACTTTGTATCCACCGGGTGGGATATTTGGATGAAAGCTCATAGCGTCGTCGTTCTTGATCGTCGCTGCCGCTTCCACCGTGTGAGACGGTGAGCTAACATCGAGGATGAGCGCGATTACGTTTCCTATGTCGATCACACATCTACGTCAATAAAAGCCGTTGCGCATTTGGGGATCCACCCATTCTCGCTTCGTGTACCTATTACAGTACGAAAAATATGTATAGGTTTATGCAAATTTTGTCAAAGGTAAACTAGAGTAAAAATTATGAATCTTTTATACCAACCTTTTTGCCATAACGTAATTTATAAGAATAACTGCTTCAACATGTGTATAATTATTTACAATAGATTACCAAACGAAATTAAATTGTTACAAGGACATACATTTAACTTACAATTAACAAAATGGCTTTTGACACCATGCTTCTACAGTAATAAAGAATACTTAGAATTTACAAATTTATTACATTAATTTGAAACTATACAGGCTAAATATTAAATCCCATTATTATTTGCATATTTGCTTGCTCGTTGAATACAATGTACCTAATTTTACCTAGGACCTATGCAATTGCCGTATTATAGCAAATAAACGTATTCTATTCAATCACACTGTTTTGTTAATTGTAAATTTAAAAGTGAAATTAATAAGTACATTAAATAAATAAATTAGTTCATTAATTAAAAACGTGTATCGCGTTTGTATCGCCTTTGCACCGCGTTTGCATCCATAATGCAATCATGCATAAAGTCGCCGTGTGTTACCGCTCTAAAACGGAAACTAAATAAGATATTAAAGAAAACCTCTTAAAAAGGGTTGTACATCCCGTGTTGCTGATCCCAGATACGTTAATTAATACCTCAACTTCTCTATAAATCTCGGTTACGTTAGTTATGATAAGGAGGGCAATTTAGAATCAACAAGAATCAATGGGAATCAATGTGAATCAAATCGTTATATTCAATATTGTTATTATTTAATTTCAAAAAATGCCAATAATTTTTGTCTTTTGTAGCTGCGCTCCAACCATCATGCAACTTTGAAGGACGAAAACTAAATGTCGTCAGTTTTAAATACCGTTGTCAATTTCATATCGATTTGCGCTAAGTTATTATAATATAGAAATTTTAGATTGTATTACGGCTTAATGGGAATATCTCCTTATACAGGATGACAGGTTGAATGAGATAAATATTTAAAGAGACAAACGAGTAGCTGATATCTTATCCGAATATCGTTGGCGATAGTGCAATTACGCGTAATTGGCATTAGATTATGAGTCTCCATTTCGGTAATTTAGTGTCCAAATTAAATCAGCGTAAATGTCGTGGCAACCAAATTAGCGTGATTTACGGGAATTTATTGTTATCAGTCCGTAGACAACATAAATTAATGCTTACTGTGCAAAAATGAAAGTCGTACCCATTGAAATAACAAAGTGTAAAGGAGGGAGGTTCTTTCTACCGTTGCATGAGGTTGCCAAAACAAGCCAAGTGAGAATTCCCAAGTGTTGTTTGTTCAGAAGATTTTTATTTTCACCTTGTATGTCGCCAATACAATTTCACCCTATATGCGGAAGGTCCGGGCGGTTGTTCCCAGAAGGGACTCGACTCCTGGAAACCGTTCCGCGAGATGAGATTTTTTTCAACCTATATGAGCGTACGAAATGTCAGAAGATCCGGGTAGCAGTTCCCAAGAAGGGACTCAGCTCCTGGTTGTCTTATTGAGCTCTCTGTATTCTCAGATTTCTCTTCCCATTGACAAAATTGTGTTCGAGTAGTCACCATTCGAGGGAAAATCTTAACACCGCGATTCAGAATTAACGG